CTTCCTCCCTTCCCCCCTCCCTCCCTCCCTTCCTCCCTCCCTCCCTCCCTCCGTTCCTTCCTTCCTTCCTTCCTTCCTTCCTTCCTTCCTTCCTTCCTTCGTCTTTCTTTCTGCCAGTACTGGGGCTTGAACAAAGGGCTTTGTGCTCTCGCCTTTTTCTGTCAAGGTTGGTGCTCTACCACTTAAGGCATACCTTCACTCCTGGCTTTTTGCTGATTAATTGGGGATAAGAGTCATGGATTTTCCTATGTGGGCTGATGAAACTTGATCCTTAGATCTCAGCCTCTTGAATATATAGAATTACGGGCATGAGCCCCCAGCACCTGGTTTGCAGTGGGGTTTTTTGTTTGTTTTCTGTTTATTCTTTTTGAAAAATTATGAGCTACAAACTCAATTTCTTTAGTAGATAAGGAACTATTCTCTCTCTTCTCTTCCCTCTCCTTTCCCGCTACTTCCTCCCCTGAGTTCACCCAGGCTAGGGATGGTGAAAAGTCCTGTTCAAGCTCTTTCCCTGGACAATGCCTTCAGAAGCCAGAGCTACATGGTGACAGCAAGCTGTGGTTGTCATGTAGCTTTCTCAAAGTGTCAGTGGAGCCTTCAGAATAGCTGGCACTGGTGAGAGGGGTGTCACTTCCTGGTTGGCGTTCTTTTCCGCAAGACAGTGGAGGCCTGAGGGAAGACTATAAAAACTATGAAACAAAGGCTCATAATTAGCATTAATGATGCTTTAATACTATTTACCACTGCTCTTAACCATGCTCAACTTCTGCCCAGTGGCCCAGGGAGACGTGAGTCCTCACCATCTGTGACAGCAGGACAGGGAGGAAGGAGGAAGGCACCAAAGATCCAAGGGAAGTGGGCAGAGAGGCCACCAGATACTACTCTGTTCCTGCCTATAGAACAGACCTGGGCCTCTTTTCCTTCTCCCTCTCCCCTGAATGTGACCTCACAGACATGGGTTCCATAGTATCCTGGAGTTCAGAAGGACCTTCAGAAGCTTGGCTTCTCCCTCTTGCTATACAGGTTGTGACAAAGATGAGTGGAGCTGTGTTCCTCTCCTTTGTTTTCTTCCTGGACTATTGGTTGGGGGCACAGCCCCATCCTCTCCCCACGAATGAAGGTACCATCACAAGTACACTGCCGTGGCAGCTGGAGGAGTGTGAGACTCGTGGGGAACCCCAATGGGGCTGGGTTGGTGGTCCTTCCCACAGGGTGCTGGGTGATAAACACAGGTGTCCTGTCCTACCTTCTCTGCCTTCCTAAATTGACAACTAGGAGGTATTGTTGGAGAGAAGGAATTAACTTGTAAGTTTTCTTAACATTGAAGCTTTCTCAAAATCCAGACCGCCGCAGAAAGACAGCATATATGCATATTGAAACTTCATTACAAAAAGTATGGAAAGTCAGATGCTGGTGGCTAATGCCTATATCCTGGTTACTCAAGTGGCTGAGATCTAAGAATGGTGGTTCAAAACCAGCCCAGGCAGGCAAATCCTTCAGACTTAATCTCCAGTTAACCAGCAAGAAACCCCCCCCCCAAACAAAGAAACCAAAAACCCAGAAGCAGAGGTGTGGCTCAAGTGGTTAAAAAAAAAAAAGAGAGAGAGACCTGGGAAGGTGGCTCAGTGGTAGAGCGCTTGCCTTGCATGCATGAGGCCCTGGGTTTGATTCCTCAGCACCACATAAGCAAAAAGAAAAAAGACAGAAGTGGCGCTGTGGCTCAAGTGGTAGAGCGCTAGCCTTGAGCTGAAGAGCTGAGGGACAGCACCCAGGCCCAGAGTTCAGGCCCCACAACCGGACCCCCCCCAAAAAAAGCCAAGAGAGCCATATCACCAGACCCCGAGTTCTAGCTCTAAACTGTTAAAAAATTAAAAATACAAAATTCAACATATGCAAAAGCAAAAAAGATTCATCTAAAGAATTTCCATGTGCCAATCATCCCTCTCTCTCTCTCTCTCTCTTTCTCTCTCTCTCTCTCTCTCTCACACACACACACACTTTAATAACAGCTTGCTTTATGGAGATAGAAAATCTGCCCATTAATTAACTGGGTGCTGGTGGCTCATGCCTGTAATCCTAGCTAATCAGGAGGCTAAGGTCTGAGAATGGTGGTTCAAAACTGGCCCAGGCAGACAAATCCTTCAGACTTTCAATCTTTAGCAAAAAACAAAAAAGCCTTGATCAAAAAAGTGAAGAGAATGAGACCGTGATACCCTGAGATCCTGAGTTTAAGCTCTAGACTGTCAAAAAATTTATAAATACAAAATTGAACATATGTAAAAGTAAAAAGATTAGTCTAAAGAACTTCCATGTGCCAATCATCCCAATCTTACACACACACACACACACATTTTTAAATAACAGGCTTTAACAAGAGAATATCTACCACCCATTAGACTGGCACCGGTGGCTCACGCCTGTAATCCTAGCTACTCAGGAGGCTGAGATCTGAGGATCACGGTTCAAAGCCAGCCCAGGCAGGAAAGTCTGTGAGTTATCTCCATTTTCTATTCAGAAAATGATGGAAGTGGCACTGTGGCTCAAGTGATAGAACACTAGCCTTGAGCACAAAGAAGCTCAGGAACAGCGCCTAGGCCCTGAGTTCAAGCCCCAGGACTGGTAAAAAGAAAAAGAATGAGGTTCACCTAAGTCCCTTATTTTTTTTTTAAATGGGAAGCCCATAAAAAGAAAAACAGCCAACAAACAAAAAAAAAATTCACCTTTCTTAAAAAATTGGAACAGGGGGGCTGGGAAGGTGGCTCAGTTGGTAGAGCTCTTGCCTTGCATGCATGACGCCCTGGGTTCGATTCCTCAGCACCACATAAGCAAAAAGAAAAAAGCCGGAAGTGGCGCTGTGGCTCAAGTGGTAGAGCGCTAGCCTTGAGCTGAAGAGCTGAGGAGGGACAGTGCCCAGGCCCAGAGTTCAGGCCCCACGACCGGGCCCCCTCCCCCGCAAAAAAAATTGGAACAGGGTTGATATGTAGTACAGACTGATCTTCAATTTGCCATCCTCCTTCCTCAGCCTCCTAAGTGCTGACGTTACACATGAGCTACTCTCAGCAAACTTCACCCTTCTAAAAGTATATAATTCTGAAGTTCTTAGTATATTCAGTAAGTTGTGAATCACCACTACTTTAATTTTAGAACATTTTTGTCATTTTAAGCAATAACCTCATACTGGTGATTATTTTCCAATTCCCCTTTTCCCAAGCCCTCAGAAGCCCCCAAGCTAATTGCTTGTTCTGTGGATTGCCTAGACCAGATATTCATGTAAGCGGAACCATG